CCTCTACCGCTCCCCCAGCCCCTCTCCCTCCCTCTCCCCTTGTTGAAAAGTACACACCGAATTCCATCTCCTGGCCTGGTGTAAATTCCCGAGAATAATCGTGAGTATGGAAAGCTCAAACTCAGAGCGACAGTTTCAACAGCAGTACAACAATACAGGAACACCTCCTCTCCAGGCCCCCGTCCTTCCCTCCATCACCCCACTGTGTCCCTCTGACACCTCGGGTGTTTCCTTACAAAGGCTCCATCCACACTCACACACATACATGCACATTAACAAACACATGCACGCACACTCGCAGCCAATCACGCACAAACAAATCCACATATATGAACACGTGTGTCCCAGATGGAGCAATTGTTGCTTTATTTAGTTGTTAGTGGAACAGAGAAAACATTGTTTGTGTGTTACTTTCATAAACAGATAACCGAGGGGGACATTAGTGATTTCACATGTGAGCAATGTGGTTCCAATCTTAACTGCGTCATTTAATGTGAGCTGTAAGTAATTATCAAAAGTTTTTATACATAAATAATCTCTATGTATGCCTGTAAATACTTAAAGCCAACCATTCCATCCCAGCACTGACAAAATTTGTACAAATGAAAGATACAAGATCAGGCAAACCAGCATAAAGATCCATTCTGTTTTGGCTTTTAGCTTTCGCATAATGCAAATAAAAGCTGGCTCCAGAGAGAATTTTGTGTTTGCAACAAAAATGTCACATAATTCTTTCACTGAATTTATTCAAACTGACTACATCTATATGCGCTTGGAGAAGGAGAAGTAAAATGACTGTTCAATTAACAATTAATCAAGGAATAAAAAAATAAAGAGTAACTATTGTGATAATCAATTTTCAAGAAAAAATGCTAAACATTCACTGGCTTCAGCTTTTCAAATGTGGGTGCTTTTCTTTGTCAGTAAACTAAATGTTTTTATGTGTTTTGGTTTGGATAAAAAAACTAACTAAAAATGTCACCTAGCCTTTTTTTATTATTGAAACTATCAGAATAACTATTCAGCAGATTATTCAGTAATGAAAACAGTTCTTGCAGCCCTGTTCAAAAGCATAATAAAGAAGAATGAAGGTAAGCTCATGCAGTTTTCACAAGAAACCTGGATCAGATGTTTGGCTTTCATGATGTTAAACAACTTTACTCCATTTACTTTTGCTTTTCATCATATTTCCAATCAGACATGGTGCACAGAGCAACGGTTAGAGTTTGGTAGTAAGAAAACATGGCCGTGACAACTGTGTGCGACTGTCTGGGGGTGAAGTTTGCACAGACAAACAGTTGCACAGTACCAGAGTGTACATTAAGATTTCAATAATACTGTGGCCAAACACCGGATTATTCTGCACATGTAAACACAGCCAGCTAGTTGTCGTTTCCTCGGCAACCTGATTTGATCAAGGCCAGATCTCACAGCAGTCTCCAGACCCCGTAAGTAGCGAGACAGTTCAGTGTGCCTGTCTTTAGCCCTACTGTTCTGAGACAACCTCTGAGACATTTTCTTTTACTGTGTGCCAAGAAGCTGTTTGGTTTCAATCTTGATCCTTAACCATGCTGGATGTTGTCAGATTCAGGGTTCATAATCTGCAGCGAGATCTGTTTGGAGCTTTAAAACCCTGCGGAGCTAATGGACTAACTGCCATTTCTAATCAACACAGGAACTGATTTCCAAGCCTTCGGCGGGGCAGCAACGGCCAAAATGGATGTCTCCGCCAGCTTTGACAGTCCAAGATATTAGTACAGTTAACTACATAACTTTGTTTAGAGGAGGAGGATGTGCTGTGAAACAGTGGAAGCATTTTGGTAAAGAAGATGGGCGGGCTGCCATTTACTTCCTTTTAAATTGAGTCTGATAGCAGAAGATTGATGATGAACAGAGCAGTATCTTAGTGGAATGCTCCCATTACTGTATGTTTGCCTTAACTCAAATTGCAGAAGTAGTACATTCTTAGTTATTATTTGATGTTAAATGGAGTACTTTGGTTTATAGGTTAAAGATTTCACAAATTATTTTCTAACTGTTATGTCTGAATTTCACAACAATAGGACAAAGTGACAGCCCTGGCAGACATGCAGTCGCTTTCTATGATTGAGGTCACCTGGCTCAAACCTTTTTCATTTACCTTCTTGTGGCTCTTGAGGACAGAAGGAGTGACAAAGGCCTTCTCACACAGGTCGCACTTGTACTTCTTATGGCCATCATGCACCACCTGGATGTGGACATTAAGAGTGTCCTTCCTCTTGAATGTGGCATCGCACTGGTCACACTTGAATGTTCTCTCACCTGTAGCAAGGATAGAGGTCTGACTGTAAAAGCCATTTCCAGTTATGTGTTGTTGTGCCTCTAAACACAGAGTCATCACGCACAGCAAGAGGAGGCCCAATTTCAGCAAGGCCATTTTGTGGGCAGAAACACTACAAAGAGGGGTGTTTCATTGCACCACACAATCCCAAACAGTTGTCTTCACAGAGTCTGGTTCTGTTTCTTTTTTTTAAGTCACCTTTTTTCATGTATCTGTAGCTGAACATCCCAGGGAAATGGCAAAACTAACTGCTGACATATGTTCATAACATCTAATGTTTGATTATTTTACAGTGCAAAAGGTCGTGCCCTATTTAATTAACCATTCTGCTGAAAAGCAGGGAAGTGCCAGACAGACAGACAGACAGACAGACAGTACTCGGACAGTAAGTTGGGCCACAATTTCAGCTGTTCGCAGAGTAAAGCCTGTTTTCCTTCACGCCTCTGCTCTCTGCCTCCATACAACAGCCTCTATTGTTGAAGAGTAGCTGTTTCCATTATGTGGAGATGTGTGTGTGTGTGTGTGTGTGTGTGTGTGTGTGTGTGTGTGTGTGTGTGTGTGTGTGTGTTTGACAAGGGCAAGTGGTTACAAGCTTGTGCTCATTCTTCTATTACCAAGGCCAATGATAGTCAGCAAAATAAAGAAAGCTGAGGCCCATTGTGTTTTTAATCAAATCGAAACATGCGCTTGATGATAATTAAGGTCAACGACACCCTCACATAAAGATTTCATTATTTCTTGGAGCAGGGCTTCAGTTCAGCATTAAACCATGTATGCACACACTTATGCTAAATTACATATACACACACAGGATTATCCTGTAAATAGGATGACATTTGACCGCACATTAATGTGCCACAGACATCAGATGTAGAAGGCGTACAGTTAGCCTGCCTCTCTCTAGTGGGAAAACTCTCATCTGATTTATAAATTAGAACACCTTATTCTGGATAGATTTAAAGTTCAAATATTATACTGAAATCAACTCAAATAAAAAACTAAAGATCAACCCTGATATGGGTCAAATGGGTACATTGTATACTGCACATCTGCAGTTTAAGTCCAAGTCACTGACGTGTGTCGCAGGTTTCCCCCTCTCCCTGTCTGTCTCTCTGTCTCCCTGTTTCCTGTCTGCCTCTGTGATTTACTATGAGGCAAAAAAGCAAGACATTTTTTAGCATTTAACTTAATGCCAAATTGTTGTGTCTTTATTTCTGCCATGTTACAACACCACTCTGACAATACATCATTGGCAACTATATTAATCATTTGTAGCTAATTGTCTCAGGTCCTCTGATACTGACACTGTTTTCATCAGCTGATTCACCACAGCAGGAGCAGAAACTCTGTGGTGCGAAGCTCTTTTTACTTCTAGTGACAACTTTATGAATGTAACTCCACAAAAAGAGTGAAGAAGGCTTAAAGAGCTATTTGAGTGTATCAGTTATTCAAAATAATCAAATGGCATGAATGTGTACCACCTAATGAACAGGTGGTTTTCATCAAGCTCAGACAAGTCTGTGCATTCAAGAGAGTTTGGTGAATCTGATGTGGAACACTCTTATGAACAAACCAGTCAGAATAAAATAAGAAGGATTTAAAATAAGGACATAAAACTGTTCTTATATGAAGGCCACTGAGTTTAAAAAATAACTTGACTTCGACAGCTGTGCTTCATTTTCTCTGTGTGGGAGCTAATGTGGTGCTGTAGCTCTAACTCATAAAGACAGACACATTTATTTAATAGCATGTCTATCCTGATACCTAGAGTACAGTGAAATTACACGCTGGATCCTCCTGCCCAACATACTGTCTAGAACTTGATACATGGCATTATATAGCCTGTCTCCTGAGACAGCAGCAGGAAATGCCTTGAGCTTTCCAATCTCTTTGTTATCTGGCTCAGCTTGAGGACGGACGCTGTATCCTGCCAAGGCTTGACTGCAGATCATCTGTCCAGGGCAAAGGTTTCTGTCAGACTAGAGCACCCAGGGAAGACCAGACAACCTGAACACTTTCTAATGACCCCATGGTGAGATGTTTGATAGAGTTATGATGTCAGTGTGGACAGAAATATCCACAGAGGTATGAACTGTAGGCCAATGAAATATGGGACATTAGTCTAGAGAACACTCTAAGCTGGTTTCAACTTTCAGGATGGTTAAATGTCTAGATGGGTGGATCAAAATACAGGAAAAGACCAAATAATGCTAGTACTGTTAGCTAATGTTAGTAGACTTGGCAAATACTGTTGCATAATGCCCAACACCGAGTGACTTGATGACTCTTTTCCACTCGTGCTAATGATACATTAGTTAACGTTGCGGCAACAGTTACCACAGTTAATCATCAAAGTAGTTCCCAGTTATTTTTCTGTCATTTGAGCAATTGCAGCTTTACTTAATGTAAGGATATGCAGTTCACAAAGAACGCACAGGGGCACTCACATTCATACTTACTGTTGTGGATGAGAAGGTGACGTTGTAGAGAGAAGGGGGTGCGGAACAGCGCTTTGCACTCCTCACACTGGAAGGGTCTTTCCTCAGAGTGGGTCTGTAGGGACAGCATGTTTACAATGTGTAAGGGGAGCTGCCTCCTGCCTCAGTGTGCATGCTGATGAGGCTTCTTAAATGGATGTGAGAGGATCATGAGTAAGACCCTAAAACGGATCTGGTTTGTAGACGTGATGAATACAAGCAGCTTCAGGGGCTTTACGTTCAAATGCTTCTGTTTTTCTGCTGCTGCCCGTCCATCCCCCATCTATCCATCTGAGTGACACCTCAATCCCAAAAGTAAACATGGAGAACCTCAGGGGTGGAGTGGGCCACAGACCCCACAGATAACTGCCACCAACGAGGCCTTGATTGATTACAGCCTCAATGGTAATTCTATCTTAGAAGTAACCGCCTTTCAATAAATATCTCAATAGCTCAGCAAAAAGCAATTGGCTGGATATAAAACTACAAAAAAACTTACTACACGCGTGAAAGCCAAAATACAATTAACTATTAACTTACCAGTGGATTATGCGATAAGACATCGGCTCACCTTCACTTGTACGGTTTGTCTTCACTGTGGATAATCTTATGAGCTGTCACCTGGTCCAGACGCTTGAATGATCGACTGCAGATCTCACAGGTGTACGGCCGCTTCTCTAACCAAAGAGAGAAGAGAAATGCATTCTGGTAAACTCAGATGATCCATAAGGTGGATAAGTAATGTTTTAATGTACTAATTTCTTACCGGAATGCGTTATCATATGCCGTTTTAACTGATTCGTAGAAATGAACTTCTTGTCACATGCGTGGCAGTCAAATATTTCATGTACCTACAACAAAAGAGCAAAAGAGAGCACGATTAAGTGTTCAGTCTTGCTGATAATTCAAAAAAGAAATCTCAGGGTAAAGTGCCTGTAAAAGTTCAAGGATCACTCTCTGCAGTGGTCATCAGAAACTAAATCTTGTTCGTTTTCAATAGACTGATGTCTACAGACAGAAAAGCAATTAAAGTGATGAAAAGTTTCAATTCCTTTTCTGCTCCAGAGCATAGCTCCAATAATTGCACATTCAATAGTTCCCCGGCGTACAGCGACTATAGCATATGCTAATGCAAAGCAGCTCCTCTTGTCACAGCTACTACTGCAAAAGCTTGTTCAGCTAAATGATGATAATGGCAGTGTTAAGCTTCTTTGGAGCCAATGTGTCATTATGGAAAGTCTGATTGCTCTTTTGGAATAATATTTAGTGTCTCAGTGTCTTTGATCAAAGTTATAAGAACACACTAGATATTTCTGGCAGAGATGTGCCATGTTTATTATAACACTTTAAGCAGGACTCAGTTCTTGAAAGTCTAATGTATTGCTGACCCAAATTTATAGAAGCATAGCTAGCCTTTCAAATCTCCTGTTTTATAACAAATAATGATTAAAACAACAGAAACTATTTCTGCTATCATGAGCTACTTACAGTAAAACTGTCACAGAGACACATAAGGAGGCCACACAGAAATACGACATATGCCTATTTTAAAACACCCCAGAGATCTAAAGCTGGAGAGCACCGACTCATGCACAGGTGAAATAGATTAAATGGTGCAGAAATATGTCACAGCTTTCAGGTGACTTTAAGTGTAGAACAGTTCAAAAGTGGCTCAGTAATGAATGTGGTGACAAGGATAGATGAATGCTTGTGGATTAATGAGGATGACAGATGTTTACAAGGTAAAATGTAATGTTACAATTATCAATAAATAAATAAATATAAAAATCACAGCCCTCTCATCCATCTGAACTGAGCCAGTCGGGAGAAGCAGCGGGGTGCCAGCACAGACAGCTCTGGCAAAACAATGCAGGGTCCTCAGGAAAAAAAGCAAATCTGAACTCTGACCTGCAAATCCACCGGAGCTGGCTGGAGATCACAGCGGGCAAAACAGGAAACACACACTTGAATTTGTTCATCATATGGCTTAAACAGTGAGTGGGTGACAGATACACCAAATACCAAAAATGTATTATGACCAAGCCCCCACTTTGTAACAAGAACAGTGTCTTTCTACTATTTACCTCACAACTGTTGCATCTGAAGATAAAATAACTGCTAGAACAACTTTCCACAGCTGTAAAATACCATCTGTGAGAATTACTATCTGTTGTGCAGTGTTCTGGCATCTAATAAGCCTTTGAACACACTCTGTTACTCCAGCTGGGTGTCCTGGATCATATTTCATTGTCTCAGCAGTACCTTAAATAACATGCCCCAAGAGCACAGCCTGTTGTATTACATCTGAGTTTCCTGCTTATGCAGGCTGGCTGTGCCAAAATAATTATTAATTGATTTAATAGCATGTAATTGCAGTCAAATTACATTTTTGTGCACCATAGGAGGAAAGACCTAACCCCTCTATAATATTACATTTAAAAGCTTTCAGGAAGTACAAATATGCTAAAATGGTACCAAAACACACATTTGTATTTGTAGGAACATATTTAAAAGTAATACTTAAATAACCCTGTTCAAATCTGTACCCTATCAATAAGGGGGAGAGTCCTGACGCCAAGGCTAAACCCTTATTGTCTGCCAACAGAGGCTCTTAAATTTCACAGGACCTGTGGGATGTGCTTGTGAAAAAGAAACCGAGCCTCTGCTCTGTGACACCCAGAATAAATTTGTTAACAACTTGATCACAGAGACACTCTCACATGAAGAGGGAACTCAGAAGCATAGGAAGGCAAACGTGAGAGCCAGAGGTTAAACAGTAGAGTGTGATGGATTTCACTGCACAGCACACAGGGAACATCAGTGTAAAAATGGACCATGCAAAACTGCCTAAGCTGAGTGAATCCTCTCCAATCCAGTGCAAAGTGTTTGGTTGAGATCATGTGAGCTGCACAGTAGATGATCTTTGTTGAGTCTCACCTTTCTGTGTTCTTGTAGATTCAGAGAAGAGGAGCATTTTCGGTTGCAAATTGTGCACGTGAGCTTCCGCCGTGCATTCCCTAAAACAACAAACAAGCAAACAAAAAAGAGAACTGGATAAAAAAGTACCATGCCTAATCTACAGGATGAGAACAGTTTGTCAGTGTAACAATAACTTTATGACAGTCATCACACATCAGCTCCCCATTCTCCCAGTCTCCAGCCAACTCACATGACCCACTTTTCTCGTGCCTGATCCCCCCCCCGCCTACACACACAGCCATTGTGATGACCATATTGTTAAAACATAAATGCCCAGATCTCAACTCCGTCAGCCTCTGAGATGGATGTCTTAATCCTGGGCTGATACTTGATTCATGTAAGGTTGCACAGACCCCCTGCTGGAAGTCCAATTATCTAACAGAGTGAGCCGCCTCAGAACACACAGGTCGGCAACTATGAAGCGCAAGTAATTAGAGCTGTGTCTCAGCACTGCCACAGTTTTAACTGATTGAGGTCAAGCAGTGTTACTGCAGATGTTTGAGTGTGGCGGCTGCTGATGGACCTTTAATGTCTTTAGATTATGGTTAGAGAAAAGACAAATGCATGTGAACAGAGAGATGGAGATGCCAACCTGTGTGAACGTTTCCTTTATGCTTCTTCAGAGCATCCTTGCTCTTGAATCGTTTACCACAGCTCTCTACTTTACAGATGAACCTGGCATCTCCTTTACAGGCTTCCTTATGCTGTTCAAAACTGTTCAGCATGGATACAGAAGGGGACAAAAGAGAGCAAAGAGCTTTATGGTTTACAGAATCATACATGCCATGTGTGTACAGTGTACTGTACGCAGTTAATGTTTTCTCTTAGACAGTGTGTGTTACCTGGATTCTGAGCTGAAGGTGTTGTGACAGAGGGAGCACTGGTGTGCTTTAGAGTCACCTGATGCGCCCAGTGACTCAGAACAATGCAAAACACTGAGGAAGGATTCAAAATAAAAACAAATCAGGTACCAAGTAGGAAATGAAATGCACCAGGATGATGGCGGCTCAGTAGTATATTCAAGATAAATTCTTCTAAATAGTATTTACTTAACCAGATCATCAACTTTAAGCCAATTCTGTATAGGTAGCATATGTGAAAATAATGGATCGACTCCTAGTTAAATTAACAACGTCAATTAAAGGGATAGTTTGGCACTTGGGGAAATAGATTCACTAATAATCAAAGGTTTCGATGCACTTTCTCATTTAATTCAGTGGGACAGTGTGTCCAAACCTTTGGCAGATATATTCAGTTTCTTGTGCAAGTTAAATGAGAAGATTGATACCGCTCTGTCTGTACACTAAACAGGAAGCTCCAGCAGGTCAGCTTAGCTTAGCATAAGCACTGGAAACAGCTAGCCTGGTTCTGTCCAAAGATATTTAACAAGTTCTATCTTGTTCATTTATTTCTTACAAAAACAAAGTACCGAAAACAACAATTTGTTGGTTAAGTCCAGGTGTTAACAACTGCTCCCAGACGGACCATGTCCTGGCTGTAGCTTCATATTTTGGATACAAAACATGAGAGTGGTATAAATATTCTCTTTTAAATCTCAGCAAGAAAGCAAATTAGAATATTTCGCAAAATGTTGACCTATAACTTTTTTCATTGTTTTGTTTAGTATCAGGTTTTTTGTGAGACCAGCTTGATTTGTTTTGTATCAGAAGCAAAAAATTAATACCTATACAAAACATCTTTACCTTCGATACATTATCAAAAAAAAATATACTGAATTAATTTAGTGCTTTTTCAGATTTCTTAAGGACTTGCAGCTACTGCATTTTTAAAGAGAAGTTTAAAGTTATATGAAACTGCTCTACAACCATTTAAGCGATTGACAATGAACCCACTGGCGCTGCAGAGCCTGTTTTATGGGGAACTTCTTGCCACAGTTTCTGCATTTGAACTCCTTCTCCTCTGTGCTGGGCCTCTGATGCAGAGTCTGGAGGTGGGCAGCCAGGATCTCCTCACTGGGAAAGCTGCTTTCACACAGCAAGCACGGGTGGTCCTCCTTCTTTATTACTAGTTCTGCAGAGATGTGATACGTACACACTGAACACGTTAGGTCACACAGCAGAGGCGTCAGCAAAAGATCATAAGATTTGGGTGGGTCATAGATAAAAATAATAAATTATCATTTCACCATACCCATTTCAACAAGATGCTTAGCTTCTTTACTGTTTTCATCCTCATCTTTAATTGCCTCCTCCTCTTCTTCCTCATCCTCTTCCTCCATATCACTGTCCAGGTAGCCTATGAGGAGCTCTGTGTCTGTCTCTATGTCATCCACAGCCAGATAGAAGATGTTTTCTCCATCCTGACACAAGGAAACATCATTATTGTAAATCACACAATGCTAACTTTGCTATGGAGCACAGGCAGAACGGCACCTAACAAATCTGAGAAGAATGTAGCAAATGAGAAAAGCGTCCTGGCTAAAATTCAGTTATAGCCATTTATGGTAATGCAGGTTAATGAAGGTTGAACTCATTACACTCAGACAACAGCGTGTTAAGGCCTGACTGAGGTCACAAGTCGAAAGCTCAAACCCCTAAAAAAACACTGTCATTAACTTCCCTGTCCTTAAAGGTCATGCTAATAAAATCAAAGTGCCATTTTGTTTTAACTATGGGATATTAAATATACATAAATAATGATTAAGAAGAGGAAAACCACACAATAAACGTCATGTTGATGAAACACAGAGCTTAAACACACATGTATGACCTTTAAACGACCAATCACTGGGCATTTATCTATTAATGGCAGGAACTTGGCCCCAAGACCTGAAATGTTCATCTTGTCTTCATTCCACTTCTTTCTGTTCACATGACAGAACAGTTTTTTTATCTTTTGCCCAGGAGTACAAGAGGTGACGTTTCGCTAAGGTTGTGGCAGTGTGTATTTTTATTTTTGTTTTGTTTTGGGTTGTTTTTTTTTTGGTATTTATAGGCCTGGCTGCTGTTGTTGATACATTATTTGACATGATAATAACTCTTAAAAAGGTTCTTGGAGTCTTTTGGAAATAAATTAACAGTAAGAATCTGGTGGCTGTAGTTCTTCGATGATTTATTTAGATTAGATTAGATTCAACCTTATTGTCATTGCCCATGTATAAGTACAAGGCAACAAAATGCAATAACAGCAGTGCAGAGTGTGCAGTATCTAACAGTCTGTACATTCAGAACTAATTTACAGATGGACATGTACAATTGATATTTACAGTAAGATATGTAGGGCAATGTATGATGTACAACAGACTATAGATTCAAATTACAAGTAATGGACAAGGTACATTAAGCTTATGGAACACTAGTGCAATGGGATGAGATGGAATGAAACAGTGCAGAATAAGAAGACAACATGTTACATGAGTAAACAGTTCAATGCATGTAACTAGTGCAAAGATAAATATACAGTATCTGCATATGAACAGTGTGCAAATGAATACAGAGCAGTATCCTGTGAGTATGTGCAAATGACCAGATCACTTCAGTGTTACAGGTAACAGAAACATATTGCATTAGTCCCAGGAGGAGAGGTGAGAAGGGGTGAGATGTGGAAGTGGTATAGAAGAAGGCAGTGGGGGTCAACGGGGAACAGCTGTGGGGAAGGAGCTGTTCCTCAGTCTGGTCTTGGTCCGGAGGCTCCTGAAGAGCCTCCCAGAGGGTAGGAGGTTAAACAGTTTGTGAGCAGGGTGAGAGGAGTCCTTGAGAATGCTGCGAGCACGTTGGAGACAGCATTCCCTGTGGACACCCTCAATGGCTGGAAGTGGAGTCCTTGTGATGCGTTGGGCAGTTTTCAACACCCGCTGCAGCGCCTTGTGGTTGGAGACAGAGCAGTTTCCATACCAGACTGTGATACAGCTGGTCAGGATGCTCTTGATGGCCCAGCTGTAGAAGTTCACCAGGATGGCTGAAGACAGGTGGTTCTTCTTCAGTGTCCTCAGGAAGAAGAGGTGCTAGTGAGCCGTCTTAACCAGGCTGCGGTTGTTGGTGGGCCAGGACAGATCCTCTGAGATGTGGGTCCCCAGGAATTTGAAGCTGGAGTAGAGGAGAGAAAAAGGAGTAGAGGAATGGGCTCAGCACACAGCCCTGTGGTACGCTGGTGTTGAGGATGATGGAGGAGGAGTAGGTGTTGTCTGACCTAACATGCTGAGGCCTATTGGTCAGAAAGTCCAGAATCCAGTTGCAAAGGGAGGTGCTGATGCCCAGGTCACCAAGTTTGATGGTTAACTTGGAGGGGATGACCATGTTAAATGCTGAGCTGAAGTCCAGGAACATCACTCTTGCATAAGTGTTGTTGTTGTCCAGATGTCTGAGTACAGAGTGCAGTGCTATGGAGACTGCATCCTCTGTGCTCCTATTCTTGCAGTAGGCAAATTGGTGTGGGTAGAGTGTGGGGGGGACACAGGTCATCAGGCGTGCCAGGACCAGGTGCTCGAAGCACTTCATGATGATGGCTGAGCTACAGGGCGGTAGTCATTCAGGCATGTCGGGGTGGAATGTTTCGGCACTGGCACAACGGAGGTGGTTTTGAAACATGTTGGCACAAATGCTTGGGCGAGGCACAGGTTAAAAATGTCCATAAAGACGCCAGCAAGCTGTCCTGCACATGCCCTGAGCACGCGTCCAAAATGCCATCAGGGCCAGCAGCCTTGCGTACATTGCGTACATTGATCTAGCTCAAAGCAGTGTCAGTGGAGGTGAGTGTGAGTGGCTGGTGGTCTGAACTTGATAGCTGTCTCCTTGTTGTCCCAGTCGAAGCGAGCATAGAAGTCATTTAGCTCGTTGAAGAAGGAGACATCTGTGGTTGCTGGGGTGGAGTTGCCGGGCTTGTAGTCACTGATGACATGGATGCCCTTCCACAAAGATCGGGGGTCAGATTTTGTGAAGTGTTCCTCGACCTTTAGCTTGTAGTGGTGCTTGGCCTTCTTGATGCTCCTCCTCAGGTTGGCCCTGGATAAGCTGTAGGCCTGTGCATCACCAGATCTGAAGGCTGCATGCCTGCAGCAGGAGCGGCACCTCCTTGTTCATCCACGGCTTCTGATTTGGGTGAGTGGTGATCTGTTTCTGGGTTGCGACACTGTCAATAGTAGTGTTAATAAAGTCCAGCAGAGAGGAAGTGTAGGTGTCAATGTCCATGTGAGGTAGCCCAGATGATGGACAAGGGCATAAAGAAACATGCCTCTCTCCCTGTCCAATTTTACATGCAATTTACTACAATTTACAAACCAGCCTAGACATCTGGCTACAAAGAGGCTTGAAGTCAAAGTGCTATGTTTTGCCATGAAAATGAACAACATGTAGTTTTTTTAAAGTTTACCATTCCACCTTTGACCTATTTAAATTTTTTTTAAATCTCAAATTTAAGATATTTTGCTTTCCCATGCTTTTGCCACCACGTTTACTCTCATATTAAATTTTCAGGTCACCTGTAGCTCCAAATGCTCGCGGTCGTCTGGGATGTCTTACAGAACAAACACAATAAAACGTGCCATTGTTGTCCTGCACTACTGTAAAAAAGTGACTTTTCAGATCTTGCTGTGAAAGTTTTCCAGTCAGAGAAGAGACTTCCTTATGCATCCACTCCTAAGGCTTTATATACAAAAAATAGCTAGATTCCAACTTCTTCTACAACCTATACAAGTTAAAATGATATCTTTCTCACAGGTATTTTGCAGCTACATTAAATAATGCATTAATAAATCCTGACAGATGTGTGCTGCCTGTAAAACTGATCGGCCTTTCTCTTAGGTAAGTCTGAGGGATTCATTGTCCACTGAGAGGAAATAAACCTGTATGGCTGCCAAGTTCTTCTGCTCCTGTGAAGGCGCCTGATGGACAAACCGCAGCCAGTTGGCATAGCGTGGGTTACTCGCATCCAAAATATACAGCACATCTCCTTTACTGCCACGGACCTTGGGAGAATAAATGACAGTATGAGCTGTCAGAAATGAACATATTCCTCTTCTCTTGTTGCTTTCATTGTGTCTTCTGTACATCAAAGGCCTTACATATGAACACCTAAACCTGAGCCTCATGATGTGGCAGCCACAGATAACTACACACAGCACTTAGTTCAGTGTTTACCACCAGCAGCAACATGAGATGAGAGTCAGTTTGGCTGATTGATCTGCAACATAATCAAATATTCTCTGAGAACGTAGCTGGACACACATGCAGGCGTCTGTGCCTTTCATTGTCAGCCGTCCTATGACTTTATTTGAAACTGCAAGGAGCTACGTATTTGTTATTTAACATCCTATACAGTACAGCTTGCATGGGTGTGAGGCTAGTGTTATAAGGAGAGTGATTTATGCAATTCTCATTTAAAATAAACACAAAAGTCACATTTTAATGACTGATGGGCAAAGTCTTGATTTAAACTTTTTTAAAACCTTTGTTGCCTGAACGTGTGTACACTGCTGTAGAAACAAGGCAGGGTGTGTGTGCATTCACCTCCCACATCAGCCTGGTGTCCGAGCTTTCATCCAGCTCACTAGGCAGCTTTTTCTCACCTGCAAAGGGACCAAACTTTTCTCCCTTAAAAAAAACAAAAAAAAAAAAAAACAGGATGCCATTGTAAAACAAACTGGCAACCAAAGTGATTTATATTACAACAGTATACAGCCCAGTACTGAGAAAGCCAACACTCTAACATATGAATACATTTCACAGTAGAGGACAAGAAGCCAGGGGCCGTGTTCCTCAGTTTGTATTCATGTTAATCCTCGAGCTGCAATGCCACACTGCACATTTCAGTGGCAGCATCCTCCTCAATGCGCTGATACATGACCCCATTCACCCCGTGACACGGTTCGCAGCTTCCCCTTCTCCGTATCTGACAGCGGTGGGACAGCTTCGGTTTTAAATGACGTAAAACGTTGGGAGCATTAAGTTGAACGTGGGTCGTGTACAGTAGTGTGCTGGTCCACGACACGGGAGCGCAACCCGTCTTTCCGACATGACTACACCGTTCAGCAGCGAGCGAGAACAACGACCGGAGTTACTGTAGCTACGTGGCACTTCACGTCAGAGGAGCCTTTGGGTCGAAACTGACACTCTGACAGCGACTGTGAGGAATAAGCCCAACAAAAACCGTGTCTACAACGCGTATGGCTTTTAAAAAGTAACATACAACGCGTGTAAAGTTGGTTAGAAAGTTGCCCAGCCAGAAACAACAAACCTTTTTCACTCGCCTCGCCGTGTAAAGACCGATTCCATCCTGGACCTTTGACGATTTCAGAGAAAATCTGTCTGGCACATACATACCCAACATTGTCATTATTCGGAAATGTTTCCTTCAGTGACAATTAATTGGCTATCGGATATGTCAGCGAAAGTGAATAAGCATTGTCATTTTGAATTGAACGCAGTCAGTTTCTTCGTGAAGCGGTCCAGGTTGACATTGTGTTGCTCCTGCTGCAGGAAGGCAGAGCGCGTCCTGATTGGTCCAAAGTTTGTAACCAGAAGCTACCTTTCCTGTCGCTCCCAGCGAGTGAGAACAGCGATGTTACAGTAGTACTGCGATGTAGTTACGCTAAATGTTAGACCCCAAGACTCGGCAGTAGCACAGGAGGCAGGTTAGGATGACATCGGGGTCTGGTTGCATCATAAGACACGACTGCAGTGGTGGAAGAAGTACTACTCAGATTAGCAATACTACAGTGTAAAAATACTGCTACTCCATCAAAATGGACTTAAAATAGCAAAGGTAAAAGTATTCATAATGCAGAATGGCACATTTCACATTAATTTATATTATATTACTGGACTGTAATTATCCATATTCTTGTTTTCATCACCTTTAATGTTGCAGCTGATAAAGGTGGAGCAAATGTTAACTACCTTATATGCTCATAATTTGAAATACTCCTGGGTAGCCACCAGGGATCAATAAAGTGTTATGCTCATACTGTATTTTTATATTAATCTGATTCTGAAAGGTAACTAGTAAGTAAAGTTATCAAAAAATGTAGTGTGGTAAAAAGTACATTTGCCTCTAAAAAAGTACTGAAGTTGAAGTATAAAGTAGCAGAAAATGAAAACATCTAAGTACAATACATACCCCCGATAACTGAACTTAATTTGAGTGAATATAATTTCTTTTCACCACTGCACACCTGGTTATGGTGAAGATTATGTTAGATTAAATAAAGGAGAAACAGGCATCTATGGAGAAACTTCATTTTCCCCAGAATCTGCTCCTGAGCTTTGGGATCCAATGATAACCTTGTAGTAATATACATAAAACTTGTAGTTTTCTTTATATAGGCTGATTGTATAGATTGAAACTAAAACACACATTTATCTCACAAAGCCCTCACCTGACAAGACTGAGTTGCTGGACTTGATCTGTGAGCATATTCCACGTTCACATGTCAGCATCATTTTTCAAGTTGGTTTAGAATGGGTGAAAATATATAGGAGCCACACACTCTTCAAGGGACACTGACGTATGTCACAGTACTCAAAGACAAATAACCTGAATATTATGAATTTGTATTAGCATATACAAATGTTCAGAAACTCCAGCGTACATTTTAGTTGTCCTTATATGAGAAAATCTGATCTTTTTACCGGCCAAGTGTGTTACACACTCAAGGAATTTGTCTCCGGTGTAGAACCGAGGCAGCAGTCTGCAGCACCAACTCACACAAACCAATGACAGCACTGTCCCTGCAAGGCAGGGCTCTGGCCATCAGGAATCAGGTTCAGTGCCTTACCCAACATTGACATGTGAACTAAGGAGAACAGGAATCAAACTGCTGACCTTCTGACTGGGGGACGACCACTCTACCTCCGGAGCCACAGCCACCCCAAATGCATTTTGGACAAGGATGGGATTTGAATCCACGTGTGCAAGCACAATGGATTAGCAGGCCATTACCTTAACCACTTGTTCACCTCATCTTCTGTTGCATACTTCACTGACTTACTCACCATGAAGCTCAAAAACCTCAGAATATTGTGACGTTTTCTGTCTCTTGGTTTCAGCTTGTCTGTTCTACAATTCAGAAACCACACTGTGCCAACAAGCAGTTGAGCAGAAGTCTGACCAAGCCTTTTAGCTCGAAGCAGTTGTCCCACCAGTTTACCAACAATCAAAGCCTGCTGGAACAGGTCGTCCTTCTGGCCTGAAGCTCAGCAGCAACCTGACCTGAACCTTCCAGAAACAGCAAGTCAAGAATATGATCATACTTACCAATCCCATCCCCAGTAATGGCAGCTCAAACCAAGTTAGTTATATATTTTCACATTACTGATATTCAAACTTATACAACTAGATACAAAAGATATGTAAAAATTTTAATCTCTGCCAAGTCTTTGTTTAGTGACTCTAAAGAACATTGTTGTTCTTTTTCATTTCATATTTTTTATATTTAACATAACACTTCAGGTCAGTTCATGTTTATAATATTTTTGATTTTTACAGGATTATACTCCAGGGAACATCTTTATTACCGATGTGTGTACTGACAACAAACATACACTAAAATGACTAATGCTACATTAGTCTTATTTCTACTATGACATTGTTTTGAGAGGGACAATTATTTCAAAATTAGCATCCAAATTAAGCCAAATGACATTTGTTGGTCTTTGCTAAATTCTCAAGAAGTTGATTTGGTTTTAACTGAAGGATTCTTGTGTAAAAGTACAGGAACTAACAGCCCACAATTGGACCTCATATTATCTACCATATACAGTATTCTTTTTATTTCATTTTTTAAATGTCCACTCCCCTTGATTTGTTGACTTTCACCCTGCACTCAGAGATTAGCATCACCTCTCATCACTGTCTGTGTATATTGTGTGTTTGAACACCTCTTCGGCAAACCTCTTCCCTCTTTAATCAGCACTGTGTCAGTGTTATGTTGGTTTTGTTTACTGTTCTTAGCTCATGTTTATGCCAATAACTTCCTGTTGTGTTGTGACTTTACAACAAACTGCTTCATGATTGGTCCAGATGACCAGCGTTGGCTGACAGTTATGACAAAGACTGACTCACGATGTGCTTGTTTACCTCAGAGTCATTGAGCTAGTGTGCTCCACTGTCCTTGTCAAACTTTCCTCATGGGTTTACACTTCAAAATTGTGTGTCTTTCAGCAGGGATTTTTTTTCTGCCACAGATCACTGTTGTAGATCAGATGGTGTCATCAGTGGCAAGGAGTCATATTCCAGGTGTAGCTCAGCGTTAAGCCACAGGAGAGAGCTACATGGAGACTTACTGGGTGACAAGCCTGATCACTGCACTGAGAGGGCCTTTGTGTGTGTCCGCCCCATCCATGTCCTCCTTGGTTAGTTTCTGTCTCCCCTGACCTCTCTGTCAGTGCCTCGGCCTGTCAGGGTGGGACGATTAAATGTCATGACCCCTTTTTTCCTCTGTGCCCTCTGAGGACCCTCCAACCCATTAACTTTCACTCAGCTTTCACTAAGATCCCAGAGTTATCCCCACTACCTCTGATCTCCAATGTCTGCATGAAAGACACACAGAGAAACACACACAGACTTCTCACAAACCAACTTGGTCTGTGCAGAAAACTCACAATCATGACGATGTGTGGGACTTGAGGACTAAGCATCACGTGTTTGAGCTTGGACAAACTGAACATGATTGTGCAGTCTGAGCTAATGCCTGCTTTCTGTGGTTGAAATCTGAGAGAGGCAGTCATTAATTGTGATGCAAAGTATTTGGTAGTTGGATAGGTTTCATTTTAAAGCATTGTGGCTCTGTGAGGCTGCACTGACTGAAGTGGGGCTTTGGGATAAATGCTCAGTGTCAGCGTGGCAGCATGCTCACAGTGACACTGCTAACATGCTGATGCAAAGCAGGTATAAAGTTGAAAATAATTACAATGATTATGATGATGGCACTGGATGAAAAGTCAGAGGCTCGCCAGAGTAATTACAGTTCATCCTGGTGGGGACACGGGACTGAGGCTTTGAACCTGAAAGTACCCAGTCATTGAACGGAGCAACTGATCAGTGGATGGACGGCCAGTCGAGTCTCTGAGTCTCTGAGGGCCAAAAGCTACAGAAACCACATTTAGGACATGGTGAAGGAAAGGATCGCTGTGAAATAAATACTTTCTGAGTTTCTTTTTTTTCTAAGTAAATATTTTGACTGGAGGAAAACCTCATATTGGCAAACATACAAATGGTTCCATACAAGATTTTCCAAATGGATGTGTGCATTTTTCTGAAATCTCCCAAACCTGAAACTGTAGACTGAGGGGCCAGACCACCTTTTGTTTCATGTTTCACAAATCTCTGCAGCCCCTCACCACAGCTCCCAATTTCAAGGCTGTTGCTGAATAACCAGCAAATCATTTCCTGAAGCTACGAGGTCACTGGATAAACAATGTTTTCATTTGACAAACTCAGGTTGCCACTGAAGGAGGGTCTTCAGAGGGAGCCTTTTGAAAGTACAGTACTGATGAAGCGTGAGAAATTACAGGCACTTAGAAGTAATTTCATGAGCACAAGAGAGCACGGGGACCACCGCTAAGAAGCTCAGGGAAAAGGGAGTGGTGGTACGGAGTACACAAATACACAAACACACAAACATGCGCACAGAGCTAATAAATACATGCATACATGGCCAAACACACACTCACACACTGAGTCACATTCAAGTGCTGACATATCACCACTCAAACAGGACCTCTATAGGGACCCTGAAAAGTTTGTCTCTGTGTATATGATACTAAAGCTGACCTTATAGTTAAATACACAGCAGGATTAAATGAAAGTCAGATTCAGGAGCCAGTCATTGTTTTTTCACTGCTTGAGTTATCCTAATGGAGATCAGCTGAGACAGGGAATGCCCAAGGGCCACTGGTCCCTCTCCAGTGGAGCTCAGGATGGGTTTGGAAGGAAGCCCCTGATCTCTGCCTGGCCCTCTTCTAAATCAGAGCTAAGTAGAGCTGGTCTGGACCTGAGCCCCGACAATGATCTATCCACGGAGCCGCTGAAGCGGAATAGTTTTCATCGTAGTTTACGTTACCTTACTTCCCAGCCGGGGCTCATTCTCTCTGTGTGTGTGTGTGTGTGTGTGAGAGAGAGAGAGAGAGAGAGAGAGAGAGAGGGATTTTGAAAAATCACTTCATTTCACACTGTTTACTTTGGAGATTTACCAGTGTAAGGCAGAATTATTTAATTTTGCTGTCATCAAGTATAATACCAAACCCACTGATGGCAGGAGCTCTTCATTCAGTACTGAGCTTTTTACACACAGTGGTGTTTGACTGCCACAGGAGGGCTACTCAGAGCCCTCCTGGTGTGCCCGTCTGTTTGCTGTCTGTCTCTGTTTGGATTCTGTTCCAGCCTCTGCTCCCTTTTCACCATCTCTGTCCAAAAATGTCACTCAGCTCCAATCTGAGCACATGCACAAAACAGGCTCACAAATGTCAACTCTTAAAGCCTTTCATAACGAGAAGGGGACGATTGGAGTTTTACTTCTGCAACACACACAAAAAAATTAAATAAAATAAATTAGATTTTAAAAAACCTAAGTATAAAAATATGTTAATGGATTTTTACCTTTGGACATAGAGATGCTAAAGCGTTCCCCCTGTTTCAAGGTGCTACTGTGTGCACTTGAGAATCTCACTCTCAGCAAGAAAGTGCTGAAGTATATTTCCCTAAATGTTGAATTATTCCTCTAATAATGGCATTATTCATGGCCCACTTTGGTATTGCTAGTCCCACACATTTCCTTAACAGCCACACACCATATCTAGCAACTTATACTGTACCTAAGCTGGATTCTGAAATAAAAAGAATCAATCAGCAAATATCATTATTTTATGACATTCATTTTCTATAACACTCAGTCCCACATGGGAACACTGGAGCCAATCCCAGCTGGCAAACGGGTGAAGGCAGGGTACACCCTGAACAGGTTGCCAGTCCATCACAGGGACAACACGCAGACGAACAACCACTCACATGCACATATTCATTCCTATGGGCAATTTCAGAGACACCAATCAACCTAAGCCGCATGTCTTTGGACTGCGGGAGGAAGCTGGAGTAACCGGAGAGAACCCACGCAAGGACGGGGAGAACATACAAACTCCACACGGAAGGTCGTGAACCCACAACCTTCTCATTCTGAGGGAACAGCGCCAACCACCGTGCCACTGTGCCGCCTATTTTATGACATAACATAAATAATGAATCAGTGAGGAGAACTAATTCTTAAAGTAATAGTTTGATATTTTGGAAAATCCGCTTGTTCACTTTCTTGCTAAGAACTATTGGATTAACATTTTCACATCTGTGTGCTATGCTACCATCAGCAGCCAGTTAGCTTTGCATAAAGACTGGAAACAGGGTGGAAAGGCTTTTTTAAAATGTTGTTCCAGTTCCTCTAAAGCTCATTAATTACAATGTTTAAAATGTTATGCTTTTTTTTTTGGCCTTTGAAATGGAAGTCAGTGTCTCTGGCCAAAAAAAGGTCCAGCAAACAGCCTCATATAAAACCATATAATGTTATTTTTACACTGTTTTTTTTTTTTGGTATAAATTAAATGAAGGAGGTACAGTGTTATAATTTGTGAGTTTTAGAGCTTTAGGGCACCTGATGATTTCTTTAATGTTTGGAAAAAGCCCGCCAAACTGTTTTCTCTGTTTCCAGTCATTATGCTAAGATAAGATGCCCAACTCCTGGCCTTAGCTTAATATTTAAAAGAGTGGTGTCAGTTTTCTCGCTTTCCACTGGAAAGCAAATCTGTGTATTTTCTAAAATGTTTAATTATTGCTTTAAAGTAGACGAGAGGATCTCTAGCACTCTGAGACCACACTGACTTTCCATAATCCAGGTTTCATATTTATGCAAAATACATAACATATAAAAATCAGCTCTGATTTTCTGATGCAGTAAGCATTTAAAACAACACTTTAAATGAGGTATTATAATTTTCTTTCATTTGCTCAGGCTAGTCTTAAATATTAGCTGAGCTCAGAACAGGCTACATCTAAGTCAAACCGGGAATCAGAGCACAGGCCTCCATGTGGTGCTGTGATTACTCCGTCACTTCCCTGAGCGGTACGTGTCTGTCTCCACTCCATGTACACACATTTACACAAATCTCATGCACCAAAGCCCTGCGCTCATTACCATGCAAAGTATAAACATGGCCAGCCCTGCTGATGGTTAGCTCTTGGACAGAAGTCTTTCTGTATATTCAGCCTATGTTTGCATTAGTGTTTATGAGGATATCTACTGAAGCTTGCTGGCAAAACACAAGTGTCTGTGCATTTTAAGTTGACCAGAGAGCAAGAGATTCTCTAAAGAAGCCAGGAGGATTACAGGAGATTTTATTCATACGTGCAGGAAAGCAGAGCTGGCCGGTTTCAAAGTGGCAGTTTACAGGGATATCCGTGACACTCCCACACCTCTGTGGAAGCTCCTCCACATTATTCCAGGGCAACAGCAGGTTAATAGAAGCCAGATGCAACCTTGCTGCATTTCCTTTCACCAGGAGCACTTGATTGACAGTGAGTTGCGGTGATGAATCCGAGCGCAGCTACCCAGAATCAGGGTCTGAGTGGAAACATGGCAATTCACAAGCAGCAGCTGCTTTTCTTGGCCACACCAGAGGCAACATTTCCATTCACCTGAGACTACTCCTAATTAAAATGGGTGGATATGTGCAGTGATGTGTGTCTGGCTTTTCTCTTTGCTTATTTGTGGTTAACTGTTAAACAGTATTGCAAGTCACCCAATTCTCCCAGATTTGGAGCCTATTTCTTTAAGTGTATGTGGTTAAAAACATAAGGGTAGGTGAACCGAAAGATTGCTTTGGAGACGGTGGCCTGTTCAGTGTCACAATAGTGCTGAAGTGTGCACTTTTAGCATATCACACACCACTGCTCACTTCAACACAGTGGTCCACTGCTGCAGTCTCATTTGGTCTGGTATGACCAGTAGCTTATGGTGGCTAATCTTAGCGAATGTTAGCAAACTTTACATTGATATTGCTGTAGCAACTGAATGCATTTGCCGATTTGTTTATTCATTTTAAGTTAACACTCCTTTTACTTTAAATGATTTTATCACAAATGTAAAATAAAAAGTAAATGTGTAACACGCTAAAACATGGCATAGCAATAGCACAAGTACAGACATGTTACAATGTCAGCAAACTGATTTATTACTGTTAGTTACACAGTAATATATACCCAAAGTATACTAATATAAGGTTTGGTAACACTAACATGAACAACCATAAGGTCATAACCAACAAGTGAGGCTGTACTAAGACATCTAAATGTACAGACATGAATTAGGGTGTTTTATTGCATAAGAATTCAGCTTTTAATTTGTTAAACAAAGGTTGTGTTCCTTCCTCTTTTTCAAAGCTGTTAAAAATAAGATAAAAGCAACATTGTATTTATATCAACAAATCAAGCTAAGGATTATTTCATTCTTGTTGGCCCTGAATCTTAACTGAGACACCTGAATTTTAGCAGACCACTTATTATAATAAGATCATATATTGTTTCATGTATGACATGCAAATTCCCTGATTGATAACATTCTGTGTGGCAACATTTGTATTTAATCACTGAGAACATCAGTGTATAGAACAGCGACCTCATATAGCTACTAGTGACTGTTTAATTCAAAGTTAAAATTACAAAACAGCCATGTGAAACAGATGTTCTATACTCTCAGTGATGTGAGGAGCTAAAACAAACATATTCTGAGCAGTTCTAAGTAGGCCATTTAAAATAATCCTCACCATAAAAAGTATTAATTGTTCTTCAGCAGAGATGAAGAAATGCACTGACACATATGCTAAGATGCATGGATTTATTACTGTACATCTAGGAAAATGTACATCAGTGAGACAGATTTAACTGCAAATGATGATGACAAGAGGTAATACTTTTTCTCGAGGAGCTTAAGCACAACTTGTGTGATCTGGGAAAATAAGTCTTACAAGTTATTTCCAGCAAATAATTCAGCCTCTGTCAGTCTTTTCTTGCCACAAATCCTTTTTAGGATCAAGTCATCAATTCAAAATCTCCAAGTATCAAGTTTTGCTTACACAACCCTAATATAAGCGTCTGAGTCTATGAACACAGTACGCAGTGTGCTCTTTCATTTCAGAGCCATGATTGTGATGTTAACTGCTTGGCAAAAGAACATGACACCCAGGGTGACACAGGGATTACTTGTTCTATATTTAGTGTTTATGTACATGGATATTGCAAGGACAACTCTGTACATGTGACGCGCACACACAGCGATACAGTGATAATAACACAGATCTCCAGCACTGAACACATTTACAAGATGGGCTCTAGAGCAAACAGTGGCTGAAATACATAAGGGAATGTCTGACCTATGACAATTTTCTCATAAACCTGGAACTTCCTTGTATCACTTACTATTGTCATCAATAAAAACAGACAAAAAGAGAGACAAACAGTATAAAATAATTTAAATTTCTCCTAAAACAGGTAGTGAATATGCTGTGAGAATTCTATAGAATACAGTCAGCTACTGGATCTCCTTGGGTCAATGTGATTTGGAAATGAAAGAACAGACAAATATGACAGACAAAAGCAAATGCCATGCAGCAACAAAGAAACATACACGATGAAAGATGATCTTCTTTGAAGTTCTGCCTCCCCATTGGCAACACGATGTCAAGACGACAAGCCTGGAAACAAAGCAGCTCACGCTATGGGCCACCCAGACGTGCCACAATGAAATGTAAACATAAATATACAGGTTGATATCTCTCTCTACAAACAGCTCAGTCACTGCCATAGGCCCATGAGCTGTGTGAGTAATCAGTCTGTATACACTCCTTAGTAGAATATCACTTAGAGTTAAATAAACTTATTTAATATATATATATATTTATAATAGATTTATTTTTTACAAAGTCATTTAGCAGTATTTCCTTGTTTTGACCAGTTTGCTCTGGTATTTCACTGAGTGACCACTGTGTCCCACCACATAAACGTCCAGGAGGTATGTCTTGCCTGGTTCCATACCTGTGATGGTCTCTGTAGTGACAGCTTTGTGCAGGTTCGGGCTGTGGAAGTACTTGCAGAGGACCTTTTCTGACTTCCTGCGGGTCTCTGGCCCAGCACATTGGTTCTGTTCCCGGCGTCGCTGCTCCTCACCATAATTATCAGCCACTTCCTTACGGTAAATGCAGTATTTGTTGCGGTCCTGCGTGCCCAGCCAGGCCACAGTGACAGAGGAACAGGTGCGCAGCTTGTCAAAGGCCTTGATGCGGGTATCCTCTGGAAGCGAAGGGAAGGGCTGCTTGCTACTGGGTCTTGTGGTGGCTAGCACCTTGAGAGTGGAGGCTCCTTTCCTGCTACCTCGCAAGCGAATCAGATACTTAGCTTTGGGCTTTCCTCGCAGCAGGAACTGCCGTACCCCCTCCACATTCTGGGAGAGCAGCAACTTGCCATCCCGCCTGACTTGCACTTGCACGGCATCCAGACATGTGTGGACAAACAGAGTGACCCTCTGGTGGGAAGACACGGGAGCAAAGCGCAGAAATTTGCTGCCTTTTCTCTTGATGAACACATCTGACACTTTGCCATCCTTCAGCTCTACTGTCTTCTGACGAGCTTCCTCCTTAGTGCGGGCAAAGGTTCCCACATATGCGGTGCTGGTGTTGGTAGCAGTATTCACAGCAAACACATCAAAGTAGTACTGTATGTCCGGTTTCAGATCTGACACAGTGAAAATGTTTTTATTGCCAATACACACCTTCTGAATGTCTGATGCTTTGGGCTTGGTTGTGAGCATCCGTGAGATCTTGTTACTTGTCGGCCCTCTGTCCTTACCAAAACTACTGCCAGAGGGAACAAAGCCAAAATGCGCAAAATCAAAAGGGCTAAAGTCTCTGCCAGGTTTTGGAGCCAGCATGAAGGCATCATCAGTGCTGATCTTAGCTTCAGCAGCACACATGCTCTTGAAATTGTGTTCCTTGTTGATTACCACACAATAATGGACAGGCTGGCCCATGAGAGAGCCCGTAGGCGTAGGCTTCCAGGCCAGGGTGACAGTGGTACGACCCAGGGCCGTCACATCCACACGAGGGTCATAGGGCAGCTCCGGGTAGGGCTGGTCAGACTCTGGGGTTGTGGTGGCGTACACCTTGAAGTTGCTGTCTTTCTCTGTGGACAGCAGCTCCAGCTGGTAGAGGCCAGAGGGCGTGCTGGTGGCCACATAGGCCTCCACATCATTACCCTTGTAGGTAAAGAGCTCCGTCCCTTCATCTACTGTCACCTGCTGTTTCTGCTGGTCCAGAGGTTCAGGATGTCCTGGAAAGCAAAAACAAATATGCACGGTATGAGCTCTTTGCTTGAAACTGCATTCAAATGGGCCTGCATTTCTATTACATATTCTGAATAAGTTATCAGAGATGTTTAGTCAGGACCTTGCTACCTTCCTACCAATGCTTTTCCTCTTTTTCATTTTTGGCTTTGATTCCAACCACACACACACAAAAAAAAAAGTTTAATGTGTTGCTGCTGCGAGGTCACGATGAAGCTCTGCAAGCCTCACAGATGATTAGCCCCTCACATGGCAGCCATGTTTTCAATCCAAACATCCCCAAAGATCACAGGCCAGCATTCATTTGACTTTTCTGGCAGCACTGTACTACAAAGAGGAGCCTTGTAGCTTATACATGGGAGGGACAGTAGAGCTCTTACTTCAGCTGGAGCACAAAACCATAATATTATGTTTGTCAACCAAAAAGCGTGCTCAGTGGTGTACTAAAAATTAATGCTCAAAGATCTATTCCCACTAGAGATATTTAACAAAAGAGCTGCAAACACAGGGAGAGGTTCACAGGAGGAATGAACACATCATGGTACTGCATGTGTTGGATCCAAGTGTTCCATTATCCTTTCAGTACAGGGTGAGTTCTTTTCTCTTGAGGCAAGGTGCATGTCTTCAACTGTGCACCTAACCAATAAATCATTTTGTAATATTTAACCTGACAAGAGCACAGACACACATCCAGCGTATTGACATTCAAATATATGCTCACATCACACATCTACACTCTAAACCACAGTTTCAGTCATCTGGCATGATCTCCCGTGCTGAAAGGATACCCTCCAGATGGAGAAAGTTTTAATGTGAGGCAAAAAAAGATGTAAGAAAGGAAAGGAAAAAGGGAAGGATGACAAACAGAGTGCAGCAGGATTTACCTTAAGCAGACCAGGGCAGCTTAAATAAAGGGACGCAATGACTTTGATACAGTAGGCTGACTAGAGCAGAGCGCTTCTCTAAAATTACTGATGTCAGCTTAGACCGAGTCAGACATCACAAGTGGTCAGACTAGACACGACGCCTGTGATTTAATTAAAACCCACCAAAACACAAAAGCCTAACACCACTGCGTGGGTTAATTGTATGTGAGGGGATAGTGATATTTCCACATAACATGTGATTAACCTCTTCACTACTGCCTGATGGCAATTATACCTGATCCCTCTCCGCTGGCCTCTTCTGGCAGCTCCTGCAGAGTGAGTTTCCACTCCAGAGGAGCATCACAAGGTGTCACGGTCACAGACAGAGGTGTGTTGTCTTCCTCCACCGCAAAGTAGTACCTGTGAAAATAATAGGCTGGATATGAACACCAGGATTCACATTCATCATAGCTTGTGGGGGTAAATGAGTGTTTGAGCACTAAGTCACACTGTTGTTTCACTGACCTTGGCCTTTCTCCCTCTGAGCTGATAAACATCCAATTACACAAATACTCATCTATTATGTAGGTTTTGCATCAACATAATACATCATGTTGCAGAACAATGTCTGATGCTTCCTGTCTAGTTACAGTGTTTGGTTATGTTTTGTATGATTCAGTCGCAGCAGAAGTTGGAACTGGCTCCGTTGTGCACTTAAAGTAACATATGAACAGTTGACTAGGAATTTATTCAGTCTAAGGAATACTTACCTTTTAGGTGTGTCCCTGAACAGGTAGCCACTGATCTCAGCTCCATCTGGTATGACGGAGGAGTCATGGAACAATGACTTGTCTCTGAGCTGCATTTGGAAGAGCCCTTCATCTCTTGTGGGCAGTTTCTGGGCCAGAGCTCCCAGCGTCAAAAGCACCACCAGCAGCAGCAGCACACTCCAACCTTTACACTGCCTCATTCTGAAAGACAGAAAATGACTCCAGGTTCATTTACTTCCTAGAAACAGAAGTCATCCATCCATTGGCTGTTAATTTTCCTTTAAAGGATGTGAATTGTCAAGGGATTTCAGCCCCAGTCACTGAGGCTGTTTTCGTTTATCACAAAGTAATGTTTGATTTCATAGGAATAGTTCCACATTATTCATTTTCATGTAAAGAATAAGATGAAACAATTGATAGCACATAAATATGAAGTTAGCAGTTGGTTAGCTTATCTCAGCATGAGGAATTAGAAATAGGGAAACAGCTACACTGGCTCTTTTCAAATGTTAAAAAATCTATCACCACCTCTCAGCACTGTACCCAACCATGGCAACTTTCATTGTCACACTTTGGTTTCTGGTCAAATTAAATAAATGTCTGTATCGCTGGACAGAGCCATGCAATCTATATGCTAAGCTAACTGCCTCTTAAGTGAGTGGTATCAATCTTATCAATAATTCTCAGCAAGACAGTGAATAAGTGTCTTTCCCAAAATGTCAAACTTTCCCTTTAAAACCTAAATTAAAAAGAAAAATACTTTTTAAATTTGCTCAGAGCCAAGCTAACTATTGTCCCACGTTCACTCTTTATGCAAATTATTTCTTTAAAGTAAAACAAACACCACTTTGATAAAAGACAACCTTAGAGGTTCTGGTTGGTGGACTTTAACTGTTTTTGCCTGTTTCCAGTCTTTATGGAAAGCCAAGCTAACCTAATTGACTGCTGGTTGTAACACTGTAATTCATAGTTTCGCTAGCCCTCAACAAGTGACAATGTGTTTAAAATCTCTGTTTTGGAATGAGGTTTTCCTATCTTTCCTATTATTCTGGTATCGGCTAAAAGCACAAAACGGTTTTAATGAGCTCTGTTTGGCATCACTTACTTTGTCCATATATTTTATTTTATGTTAACATGTATTCACTTGTTCTGTTTTACTTTTATTTCTAGCCTTAATTAGCACTTAACACTAAACCATGACAACACAGACACCATCTGTGAGTGAATTAGTGAGTGAGAGACAAAAAATAAAAAGAGAGTATATGAGAACTCCAGGCCACCAGGAGGAAGGGGGAGGGGATTAGCTTTAAATACAGATGTTTGAAGGAAAATACTGTGCTTGGTGCTCCAGGGAGCCACACTGTTTCATAAAATGCTTAATATATATGTAAATCCCCAAATCTATGTTGTTTAAGATTTATTGATGCTAATATAAAAATGTTTGGTGGTTCGACTCACAGATGGACAAACATGGCTGAGAGCTTCTCACATATCCCATCTCTATTGATTTTGCCCCATTGATTGCAGCTGATGGAAACATCAAATCCCTGGTGGTTTAATCAGAGTAATGATGGCAGATTAGCCAGATACTTTACTGCCATTTACTGCAAGCGAGATGGTGTCCTTTTAATGACCCCTCTCCCTTTCTCTGCTCAGCCTCCCTCATCTGTCTCCCACCCTTGATCATGGTATTTTCATCAACAAATAATCCCTTTCTATTTCACACTTCTACGCATACAGCTTTTCCTCTCTGTGCCTCATTAGAGTTAGATAACTAAAACCAGAGAAGCCATGGCTGGGTGAACCTCCACACTGCAAGCATTGCTTTATTTCTACATTATGGGGCTTTAAAACCACAAGCAAGGGGAAAAAGCCTTGGACAGGTCCTGTCAGTGTCTCCGTCTCTGCTGTTGTCTGAGCCCAGCCTCCCGTCATACCGCCAGACTTCAGAGAGCAAAAGGAAAGCTGCCTAAGTGGTACTTTGAGGTTTGACTCACACAGAGTAGAGATCCTTATCGCCTCAGCTTGTCTTTTCCCACTTCAGTCGGAACAAAGACATTTCCTATTAATACTCAAGACAGCGCTGAGGTGGTATGTACAGAGCTGTTCAGAGCTGCCTTTCATTCCAACATCCCCAAACAGCACACAGACGCAGCGAGGGCCCGTCCCCCGACCGGCTCTGTCCACAGCACTGATGTCAATACACATAATGTCAGCTATCACTCATACAGTAATGGTTTTATCACCCCTGGCATTAGCACATCAGATGTCTGCGTTCAACGTGTTCCTCACATGTGACACTACAGATTTAAACCCTATGACTGAGTCTAACAGGACCTCTTCTTCTCCTACATGCACTGAAGCACTCAGTCTGGATTCACATCATGCTACTGAGCGATGACATCTGAATAGAGTTGTGATGGATCACTGTAGTTGCACAGACAAGCACATAGTCAGCATGGTCACATAATGAACCACTGGATCTGCTTTTATATGCGGGCATGCATAATTCTTCTGCTAGAGTTCCTTTACCAAAATAACACATTTTGCATCTGGCACAAATAAATTCAAATGTAAGACTGTTTTACTATTGCTCTTTATCTGTTCATTCATACATTGATGGATTTTTGGTCTTGCGTTTAGTGGAATGTTCTAAACATTTTGGGTGGAAAATATCTTGTATTTTGTAATTGGCAAGAGGCGGAGTGGGATTAAACTTCAAATGCAGTAAAGGTTTGTAAAGGTTTCCATCAGTAGAGGAAACCGTACTTACGTTCTTTCCCACACATCTAGTATCAATCTTAAACAGAAAAAAAAAACAAGAAAATGACAGACATCTGCCCTCCCTCCATTCCTGTGTGATCTGTGGAATGGCATGTTTTTGTTTGAATGTCAAGTATAACATCTTTGACCTTGCTCTAATTTGGGGTCATTACATAGCAAATCATGTGCAAAGCCAAAACAAAATGTTCACACTACTGTCTTTACATCTCCCACATGGACGTAATCATTTTCAATGACATCAGTCAAGTGCAAAATAATTTACAATCCACTGATGATTAAAGCAAAAATATCAATTACTTGCAACAATTCAGCCACAGATTCATCATCCACCTGATCAAGCCCCATGTGTGAGTGTATTTCCAGCAGGAACACACTGATTGTAAGTGCACTATCTCCATGTATGGAGGTGGAGCAGAACACATGCCTCTATCCCCTGTGCCGTCTTGTGCTTTGTGCACAAACCCTATATGCTCCCCTGGCCTCCCCTTTCTCCCCTCACTTTGCTTAACTGGTCTTCCCTTCCTTCTCTCCAGCTCCTTGTCAAGATGGATAAGGCTCCTGCCTGCTGCCACATGGAGCTCATTAACAGAACGGGAGGGAATAAAAGACAGTTTAATTTCAACACAAATAAAGAGACATTTCAGATTCCACCCAACAAGACGCCTGGCAGGGGCTCGCAGGACCTGAAGCCTCTGTGTGTTTTCTTTAAGGATGACTGAAGGCAGATTTATGGTAGGTCCTCAGTAGCGCGCTCCACCACGGCTGTCGCTTCAGGGCCAATATGGGGATTGAAGGGAGTGGAGTATATGGAAGCCTGGGAGCCAAGGATGGAACCACACAGGATCTGGACCTGTTTTATAGGGAGGCCAAACCAAAGCAGGTTTAGTTCTCTTGGAGAGCTGAACAGCTCATTAATGAATTGGTAGAGACTGTGGTAAGGGCTCTGTTCCAACAATGAACATTTTTATCTGGTGTGTGGACGTCCTTGTATGTGTGTGTCCAAACCATCACATTCCTAGTCTCCAATCTGCATACAAGTCTAAATCATCACTGAGGACCTGTCTCTTTGCCATCCACAACATCGTTCACAGTTTGAGTTTCTGAACTATCCACATCATCAGAACCACGACAGCTGGCACGAAGGCATGATGGAGAGGAGAGCCCAGTTTCCTTTCCTTCTCACTCTCCACTCCCCTCCCCATTCTCCTTCTTTATAGTCCATGTCTGGAGCATGCATTTAGCACTGCATCCTGGAATGCCTCTGTGAGGAGGGTCAGATCGCTGGGCCGCTTTTCAAATAGAGCTGAAAGTGGTGGGGGTGAGCTGGTTGTGGCTCTGACTGATGTGCTGGCATTGTGGCTGCAAGGCTCATTCTAGATTACAACAGCAAATGCCCCATGGGAAAGTCATCCACCCACTGCCCATCATCCAGGGGCACACACACGCACGGGCCCCGGCCGCGTTGTGGGAAATGAGTCAATCATGATCCGCTGTGTTGGGCTCGGGGAAAGCAGAGAAGAGAAGCACAGAGAGGCTGTTCAGCTGCTTGTGTGAGCGGGCTCTGCTTCTGCCTGTGTCCGTCTGAGGGAGCATAATGAGAGGCTTTGCAAAACTGAATGTGCCCCGGGACTGGGGATACATGGGGTGTGGATATGATGAATAATTTAACGAGGAAATAAAAACGCGCGTCCTTAATCTTCCACCAGTGACTTTGAATGTGTGACAAAAGGCGGCGCAGAGGCGACTGTAGCCTATATACACCGCTGAAGCCTGTCACTTCCCTGAACGTAAACGGCTATAGCAACACTGGCGGAATTCTTTCAGCCACAGAGTTTTCATATGCAAATCACGGTTTAGTTACGGTATGCGACGCAGACCTTCCCATTTTAAGACTTTTTTGTTCACGATTCATTCTCCCGAGAAAGTACAAGGGGGACAGTGTGGCTTCACTTTGCTCCTAAATACAGTTATTCAGATCCCCAATCCGGGTATGTCTCTCATTAAGCACCGACTGAGAAGGAAAACGCGGCTCTCGCATGGACAGGATGAGGGGAAACAACTCCCAATATAAACTGTCATTAATCTGCCTTGAACTATTTTAATTAAAACCCCGTTGCTTTCGTAAGTCAAATTCTAATGGTATATAAATGTATCCTCATAGAGCACTCCACTCCTGTCCGCCTAGGCTCTTACATGTGCGTAAAAGCACCCATGGGTGCCACAGTAAAAACAAACATTTATCAAAATGGCACCCCCTTTGAGAAACCTGAAAATGTGATTGTGTGCGGGGTTTTTACACTTTACAGCTAAGTGCCTACATGATGCCAGGACATACAGCGCTCAGGACGTTAGAAATAATGCGTGTATTGATGATTCGCCTTTATTGGGTGCTGTGTCACCCCTGGGAGCATGGGAACTCTGGGCAGGCACAAAAGCAAACTGATTTTATAAAGTTCGTCAGTTGAATGGTCCCGAGCAGCACCGTGCCCTATCCCGCGTGATGCAGAGACCAAAATAACCAAAGAATTAAAAGAGCATGCGATTCGGTTTGGTTGAAATGTGCTTGGATAACTTTAGGTTCTCCGAGTAGTAAACCGCAAAACATCCTCCCTCTCCTTTTCTCTCTCGCAGACTTTCTCAGGCACTACTTTACTCGGGGAGTCAGACTCTGAAATTATACTGAGCTTTTAAAAAAATAAAAGTCTCAGAAAAGTTAAAGAAAGGAAGGGAGGACGTTTTTCCTGATCTAAGAATTTGCTTGGAAGCTCTGAATCAGACCCAAAGGGAGGATCATGCGAAAAGAACAGACAAACAGCTACAGAAGACAATCTTACCTTTCCGAATATGAAACGGCGAAGTTAAGTGATGGAGGAGCTTCGTGTTCTCAAATCCACTCTGATATCACCAAGATTTCAAAAATGCTTTGTCGATTTAAAAGAAGAATCAAAACACAAGTTGTCCTCTATAGTGTCCAGTAGTTCCCTCAGTTTTCACTTCTATTGTTGGTGTCTATCCATCGGATTAGACGACTGCTCTGGTGCGTGTTTGCAGTTTTCTTGCGGATTTAACTGGTCTCTAGTGGACAGGAGTGTGTGAGAGAGTGTGTGCGAATGTGTATGAGTGGGTATCCTGAGCGCTGGCAGTGCGTCCCTCCCCTGCCGCGCCGCTGCTATTGAAACCTCCACTGGATTGGAAGCACAACTGGTACGAAACTTCGTCTTTCCTCTGTAGGAAGACTCCAAGACACAGAACCAGCCCACTCCTACAGCAGCAGCACACCAGAGAAAACAGGGACCAGACAGAGTTACTCCCAGGTTTGACTGGCCCTCAAACTCTGCGCACAGGCTATATACTACAGAAGAAACAAATCTACACACGCACATCACTTGAATTCTCCATAGCTTGCTATAAATCAAAGTCAAATGATGAATTTTCTTTCAATCACATTGTGTTGGCCAGGCTCAATAAACAGACAACACCACAATTCCTTGGTTTGTAGAGAGCGGGGTTCCTCTTTGCTCTTCTTGTTTCCAAGCTGTTTACTCCCTGACGCTCTCTGGAAATTATTACTTTGGGCACTATCGTCCTTTCACGCAGCCCTCGGTGCATATAGGCAGGTTCTATCAATGGCCCTGATACCTGGATATGCAAATCATGACTATGTACTTATTCTGTGCATAGGAACGTTCGTGGTGGTAAGAAATGCAAAGAAATCTGTGGTTAAGTGGGATGTGACAAAGTGCACAGGTGCTGATCAGCTGTGGAAACTCCTAGTGAGGGATTAATGTTTTTGTCTGTTCCGGGGTTGAAGCCCGTGGGAAGCAAATATTTATCCAAGATAAGAGCCACTGAACGTTTCGGAACGGAATTGCCCCAAATTTATGGCTTGATGGGGGTCCATGTCTGATGAGTAGGCAATCTAGATTCAGAGGATGCTGCCGTTTCCTGCTGTTTCCGTCCCATGAGAACCATCGTTCAACTCGTGTTAGCTGCAGATGTTTAGGCACGAGTGGCTGCAGGTCGCATTCAGGTCCCTGCAGGACCTGGATGGATCACGTCCAAGTGAACCGAGGCTCCACAGCAATTTAACCTGGTAATTATCTTACATGGTTGGTTCCTTATTTGCACATATGAAAACTTGTTCTCAAACGAGACTATGCTATCAAACGTTTGAAAAGTGTGCCCTTCACGTTTTCAGAATAAGCCACATAACCACATCATGTTTTTAGAGAGCAGATATACAGGTCTAGATTTCACAATGATTTTTTCTCAAAACTGTGATTTGAAAATATCATTACACTTAGCCATTCATTATTAGTAGCAGTTCTTGTGGAGAACAAACCACTGACTGTGAGAAACTGGATAAAGTGTTGGTACGACGGCGTCATCTAGCGTCTGCTCTAACAAAACCGCATCAATCAGGGCATAGTCACTGAAAAGGAAACAGTAGACTTTTAAAATTTCTGCATCCAAGGTTTTCTTAGGAAGCGAGATAATCTCTAGGTCAAATGAGCAGAATTACGTAGTCTGTGGCAGTGAGAATAGAAAGCACATTTATTTCACTTAGTGCTGATTTTGGTGCACATGTTACCTACCTTCTTCAAATGCACAAAATCCATGTAGGCTGGATGGCTAAAGTGCAGTATAGTGACCCCGTTAGGAGCTGGCCCACTGTTCCTCGGCCTGGACAGAATCCTCACTGTTCCTCCTGGTCAGCACTTCCTTTTCCACACTCAGGAATAAATTTTCCTGGGGAGGCTGAGCAGTGTATACCTTGATAATTGGCACACACTCTCTGGTTCACATTTTTAGATATGGGGATCATCATTCTGTTCTGCTAATCTATAGGCACTGCCCCCATCCTACATGAAGAAATGCATCAGCGAAGACAGCCCCACAGTGTTTAGAGTCTGCAGCACCTCAGGGAGAATCCAATCCACACCCGGTGCCTTGTCATCAAGGAGCTTCTCAAAAAGCTTCAGAAACATCAGCCTAAGATGTGAGTGAAGCTTTCCTCAAGTCTTCAGACTCTTCCTCCTCCTCAGAGGACATGTTGTTTGGGTTTGGGAGTTCCTCAAGGTGCTCCTTCCACCACCTGATGACATCCCCAGTTTGAGCCAGCAGTTCTCTGCGCCCTCTGAATACCACCCGGGTCAAGCCCCGCTTTCCTTTGCTAAGTTGTCAGCCGGTTTACAAGAACTTTTTTAAGGCCAAACTAAATCCTCCTCCATAGCCTCTCAGAACTATTCCTTCCTTGTTTTTGGGCCTGCCACCAAGAGATACCAAAAATATACTTGGCTCCAGAGAAATGTCTCACCCTCTGCTGGTGGTAAAGGGAAGAAAAATGTCTTTCATAATTTGACCGGACCAATGCTTTGTCTGGGTGAGCTTAGGGGAGATTTAACCCAGTGAACCTAAACAATGATTAATGGTTTGTTTTCAGTGTGAAAGATGAAGATTGTGGATGACTTGCTTTCTTTTTGAATCCAAGTCACCATTTTCACATACCTTGTTTGCCATCCTGATAGCTTGCTTGTAACATCAGCCCTGATATTACAGGCACTTGTCATTCGCCTACATTTGCAGCTAATATATCAGATTGGTGATTTGTAATGAAAAATTGATAACTATCTTTATGAGTTTATGATTTAGGAGAAATTTTGCAAGTGTTGTATAGCTTCAATATGTTTTGCATGCTGAGTGATTATGCACCAGCTTCTGTCTGTTTGCTTTGGGGTATAACTCTGTTGCTGACTGTGGCCTTGCCTAACTGATCTCATAACACTTCCCCAAAGGCTCAGATAATCCATTAATGCAAGGAGGATGGAAAGTAATATCTTATTGGACTGAAACACATTCATATGACACTGAGTGGAGCCTGGAAGGAGTAATCTGCATCACTCACCTCACATCCATGTAACGTCATCTGAGAGGTTTTTCATCACAGCAGCAGAAAAGGAGGATGAAATCTGCCTTTTAACGGTCTATCCACCTAAAACTGAGTTCATCATTAACTCAGCAGAGCTAAGAGCCTTCTGCAAACATTCACTCTGTAAACATTTCTCCCATCATTTCCTTTTTCTTGTCTCTCTTTGAGGGGGCAGGGGGGAGAAACAATGTCTGAACCCTGACCTAGCTAAAGATAGTAGACTCTCACCATCTTTTCCAGTAAGTACACTGGTCAAAATATGCAGTTTGCACAGTGAGTGACAGTAAAGGTATCATCACTGATGAGAAGAGCAAGACGGAGTGGGAGAAGAGATAGGAGTTTATAGTTCAAGAGAAAGAATGAGGGAGTTAGGGATGCTGATGGGAAACCAGGCTGTGTTAATGACATCCAGTGCATGTCTTACCCTGTTGTGTACCCACCTGGCCTTCAGCAGATACCTCTGTCAGTTAATACAAAATGAGCCTGTGAGTTGTGATAAGGCAGGCCTGCAGGGTTTATTACATGAGGAAGTTTTGTGCTGTGTTGTTGACTTTGTGTAGCACAGAGATCTGGTATGTTGCAGAGAGAAATGCAGCTATAGAGCACTTGATACAGGTGATCCAGCTATTATAAAACAAGTTTATATAGGCCGCTCACTCATTCACTCACCCTCTCTTTTTCTTGAAAAGCTGTTTTAGCTCGATAGAAAAACAGCCAAGATTGAAACCAGATGAAAGAGAACACAAGTGAAGAGCACATGTGTCTAACTTCCTCTCATTATCCAATAAGAGAGCAGTAGTTGTCAGCGTCCAACTTCATCCTATTATTTAGTGAGTGAGCAGCATGTCAGGGGCGCCTGAAACACTCAGGGAAGAGGGAGACATAAACAAAGAGTAGAGTTTAGATTCACAATCACACACACATAGAGAGAGAGAGAGAGGAAGATTCAAACAGGAGTATGTCCCAGGACATTTTAGTGAAACTCTAGAGCGTTACAGCTCCAGGCATGGTATGTCGACTGTAAACACAGCCATGAGGAGGCAGAGACAAGTGGAGGAGGCTTCACTCTCCCCACTGTTTTCTGTCTACAGGCCTCAGGAGGTCAAACTAGGAGAAAGACCAACTGACATTCACATGTATATTATTGAAACAGAAATTTGAAATGTTTTTTGACATTATTTATGGCTGTCATTTTTTATTATTTGCTTTTTGTAATTTATTATACAGGTTTCCTTGTTAGTGGTGGTGTCCACCATTCCTGCCCTGGGTTCACATTGCACACAAATGTAGCATGAGTTTGTTTGGTTGCACTGTAAACAGACACACAGTTGCTCTTCTGTTGTAGTTCTGACAAAGCTGCTCACGGAGTGTTGGCAATATCACCGCTGTTACTATAGTAACCACAGGTAATACTAAATCAGCCAGAAGTAAAACAAACACGTTCATCTTATTATAATACCTTTTGTTATTGTACTGCTAGTCAAAGCTAATGGCTACATGAATGGTAAAATGCTAAAGAGGCCCTGTGGTTTTATAAAGTAACCCGAGGCTGATGACTCGTCCAACTATTGGACAATGAGGTGGACTACAGGATGTAACAGCTGCACCCAGTTCATACTGTATGTGAGTGAAACACTTGGCCCCAGCACATTGTCATCCACCTTGGACAGTTAGAAACATGTTCACGCTTTAGCAGATGCAGCATAGTAATGCTGTGTTGGATACAGGACTTGGTTTCCTGGACAGCAAGCACTTACAAGATCATTTTATAGAAGATGTGTTTGGTAATAAATAAAATGGACTGGAGAGGTGTGCAATTAATGGTGACAACTCTTTGGTGCTTTGCATCTGGCTTAACACTCTGAAAGACTGCAACATGCTTCACATCAAGTAGCAGTATGTAAACTAGTCATTTTCAGCTAGTTATAGTTTGTGTTAGTCACAGACTAGTTACTTTTTGGGTGCAGAGACAACCATAGAAAAATGTCCAGAAGTATATACTCGTTATATTCTGTCTTCAGCTGCAGAATAAGTTGTACATGTCATGTGAATGACTGAGCCACAGTACAATATCTAAATGTTTTTGTCCACTTATCTCTGATA